GAAAGGAAAGACTACCTAATCATCTCTCACGAAGGCGAATCTGACGCGGAGAACCAAAGTACTCCAAAGTCCAACTGCGTGTTTTCATTACAGAAACAGGAACAAACGGTATCACCCACAGGATTATTCACCTTTTGTTGCTGTAAGTGGCAAGCAGTGACTAGAATTCAGAAAAGTTTCCCTGGAGAGAACGGACGGCAAGTACCAAGGCCCTAAGTTCCAGCCCCAAGACCGCAGCCCAGGAAGTGTCTTCTGTCCTGGCCAGCGCACTGCAGCCGGGCGGGCGGCCGGGACCCGCTGGGGTTGAGTCACAGGTGGTTTCGACACAGACATGAGGGACCCGAGCAGTGCTCACAACGCAGGGGTGCACGCAGGCAGGACCCATCCACCTGCGCCGCCACTCGAGACCCGGGAAACAGAACAGCCAAAGCAGCAAGGATGGGATATAAGAACGTGCAGGAGAAGTTCAGCAGAGGGGAGGCGAGGGCGACGTGTACTGGAAGGAACGTCCGCTGCAGCGCAGCACACAGCAGTGAGGCCAGGCCACGCCTGCCACAACCACCAGCCAGCCCTTCTTTGTTTGCAGGGTAAAGTTTGATGCCATGTTCCACGACGTTATTCCTACGTTCTAGTAAAATAGATAAAATCAGGCCCTCTGGTCTGGGCATGTTTTACAGACTTCTCAAGGGAGCTGACTTTGCTGGGGGGTGTGACGGGGCCCCTGGCACGGCCACCAGGACAGAGCAAGACAGCCTGGGCCCAAGGCAGCCCATCTGCCCACAGCGCCCCAGAAGGACGGTTTCACTGCGTTTTCCAACAAACGTCTGTATTTTCACCTCACTTTCAACGTGAATTCTGTTCTTGAAAGTATATACCCACAGCTCTCTACGTAAATTAACTACTACAGTTTCACAGTGATCTTAAAATACCACTTGTACGTAAGAGCGTGGAATAAAAAGGACTAGAGAAATGCCAGTTACTTGTTTCAGGAGAAATTGAGGACACACACTTAAGGATGTCAGTTTCCCACACTTTGTCTCGAGTGTAGATTTATCCAAGGGAACACATACCGATATGTTATCATGCAGGTGAAACACGTACTTTCAACTCTGTGCTCATGATCGGTTTTTATTAAATGCCAGAGAGACCGGAAGCCTGTGGGGCAGCTGAGATGATGACGCACGACACCTCTCAGCGAGGGAAACCGACAGCCGCTTGTGATCTGGCTCGCGCTGCTCAACCTCAGGGAGTAAAATCTCTTCTGGGGAGCTGAGGACGGCCTGAGGGTTCTTAGTGTGGCAAAGACTCACACAGACGGTTCTCAGCGATGCTCAGTGGGCCCACAGCACCAGAGAATGTCTGTCCGGACTGGGCTCCAACCACGCAGCCCCGCGAGACCGCAGCTCAAAGCCCCCGGGCCCTGGCCGCCTGCTACGCGGCCCCTCACCCCGCAGCTCGCAGCTCCAGAGGACACGGCCTCGCGCCCACCCGCCGGGCGGCCCGGGACTGGGTGGGGGGAATCAGGTGCTAACAGGGCAGGGGTCAGTTTTTAGTGACAAAAGGCGCGGCCCACAGAGTCCTCATTTTAGGACAGAGGACATCCACTTCATCCTTAATCTATTCCAGATCTCAGTGCTTTCCTTTTAGAAGTAATTTGAGATGAAAAAAAGGGAAAACATCGTTTGCGCTACAGCAGCTATGACATTCGAGAGAGAGACAGAGAGACAGCGAGCGAGAGAGCAAATGACCATCTCGGCCCACACCAGAGGCTGCGTCCTGGCGGTCTTTTTACCACAGCACGTTCGTAAGGTTCATATCTCACTTAAAAAGCAGAAAAACGATGTCAATTCTTGGTAAAAACTGTGTGGGGCAAAGGAAGCACTTGTACAAAAGCTGGGAAGTGTTTTATTGCAGGTGTCTTCATTCACAACGTCAGTGAGGCTGACCTCCCCCCGGCCACGAGGGGGCCACATCCTGTCTCATAAACCAGTCAAGTCACACCCCAGACGTGTTCACATTACTCTCTTTTTTAGTACCTGGGGGTTCGCTTTGGCTAGATTTTCTATTTTAACCCATGCTTCTTCTCGTTCTTTCATTTTTAGCTTCTCTCTGAAAAATAGTAAAATGTTGTTGGTGTTAGAGAAACGAATCAAATTCAGGAAAACATCTGGGGGGAAACACGGACGTGGCCAGCAACGCAACCCTGATTTTTCCTCCGTCACTGTCTGGTCTGTTCCACGCAGGTCACAGCGGTGGTCACGAGGTACGCATTAGGGGCTGGGGGTTAACAGATACACACTACTGCGTCTAAGATAGATAAACAAGGACTGACTGTACAGCACAGGGAACTACATTCGACTTCTTGTCATAACCTGTAATGGAAAAGGACCTGAACATGTGTACGTGTGTGTGTCTGTGTAAAACTGAATCGCTTTGCTGTATGCCGAAACTAACATTGTTAATCAGCTAAGCATCAATAAAAAATTAAAAACACAACAAAAAAGCAAGGTACGTAACAGGAAAAAAAAAAGAAAAAGCAGCCAGGACTTAGAGAAAAGAGTTAAAACTATAAAGATGGCAAGACTGTGGCTGGCCCAGGAATCTGTTCTCAGGAGCACCAGAACGAGTGCGTCTCCGTCCCCTCCTCCCTCGTTTTCCTGCTCTGTCACAGGACGCACATCGCCTGGACGGGAAGGCTGCGCGTCCAGGGAAAGTGAGCTGACTCTGCAGTGGGAAGGGACCAGGGGAACAGAAGTCCCGGCGCTGGCATCTGGACAAGGCGCAGCCCGCGGGGCCCGGCTGTCAGAGCCTCACCAGTGAGGCATGTGACCTGCAGTGACTCACTTATCATGGACCCAACTCTTTTTTTTTAAATCCAGAAGATGTGCAAATGATCTTTAAGGTCCCTTTCAGAGTGTGATGTTCCATGAGGGAGGTCCTGCCATCAGAAAGGCCCGGTGGTCACTGCCTCATGTCTGAACCCTGCAGTTGGCGGGGGCGGGGATGGGCCAGGCCACCGGCAGGTGGAACGAGGTCACCAAGCGGCTCCGACGCCCCCGCTCTAGACCTGCCGTGGTCTCTCACACTCTTCCCTGTCACCCACGCTTCACTGTATCAGCTCTCCACGCTGCCTAGAATGTAAGCCCCACGAGTGCAAGGATTTCTGTTTGTTTGTTGTGTTGCCAGAACCTAAAACGGGCCTGGCATCTAGGTCAGCACATGCCGTGTAAGGAATGGGCACGGCCCTCGTCATACATGTGCTGTGACCTGACCTACATCGTGTGGCTCGTCCACCCCAGGCAGCTTCAAGTGACCAGCACAAAATCGACTGTGTGTGTAGTCCATATGGACCCTGAGGGCGTGATTCTGATCATTAATGAGTCACACCGGCTCAGCACAGCCCAGGGTCAGTCATCTAGAAGGATCCCGCACAGCCTGAAAGCAGGGCCCTGATTTTGTGCAGGACTCGGGTGCCAGACTCTGGAGGAGGCCTGTCTTCGTGGAGATGGACAAATGAGAACAGGGCAGCCACGCTGGATGGAGACTCCTGCTCTCTCATAGGACAGGACAAATCCAAATTCCTGCCTTATCGACATGAAACATGACTACACATTATTGCCTTTAAGTATCCTGAGGTGCAAAAAGCCTGAAAGTTCAGTTCCTGACAACACGTGCGCCTTCTGCAGCGCTGATGAAGCCAGCAGCACCACGGAGAGGAGCGCTGACTTGGAACACGTGCTCTTTGAAAATAAGTTCTCGTCACAAAGGTTCCATTGGCTTTCCAAGTATGGAAGGGCTGATTTTGCTTTAAAGTGAAGAATAAGTTTTTAGGGCAAACCGATGGGAGAGCTTTATTCAGGACTCAGGGGGAAAAAAATCCTTGAAAGAATAACTTCTGAAAGGAGCGACTCACTTCAGTTTCTCTGCTTTGAACTGCTGGGTGCAGTCATCGAACAGCTTCTGGTTCATCTCCATGAAGAGTTTCAGCGCATTGTATATCAAGCCGTGTATCGTCCTGAAACGGAAGCTCTGTGTTGACACCTCCCCACCCGCTCCTGCCTCTCCCGGCCGCAGCTGCTCCCTCTCCAAGCCCATCAGGCTGTTTCAACAGCCTGCCTGCACCTCGCGAGCCTCCTGAGCCTTACAGGTAATGCCTGTTACTTCTGACTCGTTCGTTTTCCTAGAGGCGGCCACACCGTCGGCCGAGTCCGGCGTTGGCGGGCTGGCTGTGGCAGCCCAAAGCCACCCTACTCGGAAAACGAATAAAAAATGCTGAGACTCGAATGAACACGGTTAAGGCAAACTTGATTACATAGCGGACAACCACAGAAACCTTTCCTTCCTACAAGTATCAGCTTCCTCTCATTCTTCCTCACTGAGCCCCGAGGACGTGCGGTGACCTTCCACGACTCTGGAGGGAACTAAGAGGGGCCGGGGCCAGGACCGGGGAGTGAGGCAACATGCCCAGAGCGGCCTGACCCGGGTGAGGAGGCGAACGAGAGGCCAAGACACAATGCACACTCCTGCCTGACTGCAGCCCACGGAGAAGTCAGTGCTCTAACTGACATCCAGACTCACACTCAGCCCTAACTGGAGCACCAGCAGAACATAGCAAGCCCCTGGGCGCGCAGCCCGACGCGGCCGCTGGGCCTTACTTGTTCCAGTGGGTCTTGGAGTTGCGGTACAGGGACGGGAACATGATGGGCAGGATCCGGGCCGCGTTGTCGCTGATCAGGCTCATGATGTACTCGTTGTTCCAGTAGTACAGTGCGCGCTCCGCCACCTGGGGACAGCGCCCGCCTGCATGTGACGCCTGCGTGCCCGGCCAGCGCCCGCCACACGCATACGCGGGAGGGGGCAACGAACTGCACTGGACTGGAAAATCATTATTATTTTTACAGATTCAAAGTACCCTAGACTGTAACCTTGGAGGGCCTTCAGCAAAGAGGCAGATGACCTCTTGTGTGTCAAGATCACGATCACTTATTTATCCACGACTCCAGCAAACATCTCTGCTGGACGTGGGCTGGATGCCGAGGGACAAGCCAGATGAGCTCACCCGCCCCTGCCGCCAGCTATCCTCCCCACCCGTCCCCCACCCGCCTGTTAGGTGTCTACGCCACAGGCAGTGCCGCCTGGCCCTGAGGGTTCCGCAGTGAACCAGGAGAGGCAGACCTCCACGTCTCTGTGGAGCTTACACTCCATGGCTACCCAAATGATGGGCGGGCTGTTTGACTTGTAAGTGCTAAGTCCTGTGGCGAACAGCAACAGGGTAGGGAGGGAGTGTGTGGAATCGTGGCTTTGATTTAAAATTGGTGGTGCGGGGAGGGGATAGCTCAGTGGTAGAGCACATGCTTAGCATGCGGGAGGTCCTGGGTTCCATCCCCAGCACTGCCATTAATAATGATAATAATAAAATAAAATAGTCAGTGGTGGTGGAGCATGTCTGCGCAGAGGGTCCCCGGGGAGGGGCGTGAGACGACAGCAGAGTGAGTAACATGGGGGCAGCGGAGGCCGCCAGGTTACACAGGAAGCAACACAGGACCAGCTACACACTGCGACCCGCCCCCTCCAAAGGGACCCCCGAGGCGAGCCCCCGGCCCGTACCTGGAAGTGGGGGCTTGAGACGCACTTGGCCAGCTGCCGGAAGAGGGGCTCCATGATCTTCACGAACTCCGACGGCTCGATGACGTCCAGGATCTCCTCCAGCTCATTCAGGAACATGACCTCCTTTGGACTGTGAGTCTTGGGCCAGTACTTGAGAAGCGCCATGACCACCTGCGGGAGGGACAGCAGAGAGCGAGGCCGTGCCTTTGCTGAGGGTTCCCCTCGGCAAGGACAGGAGAAGTGGAGCTTGTTCCTTGCAGAAGGAACAGTGACTCAGTAATCAGGACATGGGTTTGGGTTTTTTTTTAATTGGAGAGGTAGGCCTAATACTGTGTGCTTCAGAACCACAATTTTAATTTACGTGATCCCCTCTGACGAACCACAATTTCAGTGAGAGTCAGTTCCTTTAAAAAAAAAAAAGAACAGAAAAAAGGCAGCTAGGTGAGCTCGGAGAGAACAGAACGAGTGGAGAGACACAGAGGTGAGGGTCCACACGCGCACCGCACACTCTGCTTCTCTCTGAGACTAACCGGCCGCTCAGGTGTGTTCACACACCCACACACACAGTACTTTCAATTGTGCTAAAACACACCCAAAAGAGAGATGTAAAGCCAACTGATGTTGGTGGCAAACCCTCTGTGCGTGGTGTGGCTGGTGCCCCCGAGCCCTCCTCAAAGACGGGGCTGCCGAGAAGACACTGTTACTAAACCCACACAGGGGCCCAAGGAGAGCCAGCCGGCAGTGAGTGGGTGGCAGCCCGGCCCCAGCCAGGACCCCCCCATCCCTGTGAGGCATGTCCAGCCATGCGGCCGCGGCTCCTAGGGGTGAGCGCCGGGCGTTCTGTTCCCGGCCCGTCACACCGCAGACCATGAGTCTCTGCCTTTCTTTACCATGTTCCTGCAGCCCCCAGACTTCCTCCCACAACCAAATCAGTAAAGGCTGTTCACCCCAAACACCAGATTCGGAATGCAGATTAGAACTACTCCTAGACTGGAGCTACCTTAAGTCTAAGCCAGCACAACGATCCAAACACTTCTGTGCAGGTATGTAAAGCACACATACACTCGCACACGTAACCACAACGGCCACCTGGCACTCAGAGCAGCCGCTGAGCCTTGTCGCAGCGATGTCTGGAACCACCACCGGCCAAGCAGCAGGACTGCGGCGCACGTCACCGCGAACTCCCGACTCTTGGGTGGGCTGGTGGTCCCCACTCGCTGGTCGCCTCCAGCCCCGCAGATCACACCACTCTGCTTACAGGCCGGCCTGTTAGCCCTCATGTGGTTAAAAACAAGGGGCTTTTGAACAATATCTGTTTATAGCAAACTGCTTTTGATGCTTTTGGTCTTTACGCTCCTGGATAATCTTTTATGATATTATTACACTTTATAAAACTCCAAAAGTTATTTAAAAAGTACTCTGAGTTTGGAAATATGATGTAAAAATTTATAACACAGTTGTCTTTAAAAAGGAATTATTTTAAAAAAAATGCATCATTTAATGATCTTCCTCCTACTTTTTGCTAAAATCATGTAACAGACACGAGTGTCTACTATACTCTGCGTCCTGAAACCACTGCTAAGAGAGAGCAGAGGCAAATCGCTTCACAGGTCCACCATTCCTTGTCATTTGGCAAACGGAGTTTTATTAGAAGAAATACGTTAACTTGTGAGCTACAGGACCAGCTGACGCAGCTGTTCGTGTCTCTGGAAAGGGACTACTTCCGGCATTGGTGTCACGTGCTGGGCCTACTCTGCATGCTGCCTGGAGCGACCTATGTCCAATCCCCAACCGCCTCAGGCTTCTGTGGTGACGGAGGCATTTTGTACAAGTGGGTGTCTGCTGGGGGTGCTCACCTGAGCTAACCACGTTGCTGGCTGCTGGGGGCACGACCCTGAGCTTTCCTGGGGGAACTCAATGGCCTGCCCGCCCCCTGGAGAGGGCTGGGGAGGGCAGGCAGCCTCGCCGGGCACCCTGGGGAGCCCCGCTCCATCCTGGAGGTCCTGGAATACCAGGGAAAAGAGCTCCCACCAGGCCACGGGTGAAACTCCGTCCCCCTAACAAGACAGGTGGGCGGGAGCGGAAGATGATTTTACCTCCCTCTGCTCTTTGATGAGCTTCTGACCCTCTTATAACAACAGTGTGCATGCTCCCCATGCCCAGAAAGCACTGTACAGTTTTCAAATAAAAATTTAATCACAGATTATAAATGGGAACAACAAACGTCTCTTAAATGGAGCAGACTTTAAACTCTCCTGAGCCTGAGGGGAGGATACAGCTCCACGGTAGAGCGTGGGCTCAGCATGCTCCAGGTCTTGGGTTCAACCCCCAGTACCTCCATTAAGTAAAAAAAAATACATAAATAAAACAAAAACTCTGGAGCCAGACGCACACTGACTCGGGGGCGCCGTGGGTGCAGAGCTGCGGGACACACGTGGACGCTGAGCGCCCTCCCTGGCGTTTACACTACTGTCTCACACGACACGTGCTCGACGCCCAAGTGAGACAAACTGGCCTTTGAATTTCATGGTACATGAATTTCAAAGGAAGGGATTTACTGAGGCCAAGGTCTGAATATTTTTAATGCGCAGAAAATGAAATCCTCCTGCGGTCAAGAGTCCTAGTGTATTATCTGGGTTGCAGGAAACTAAGAAACGAAGCGGTTCTGGGTGGAAATACTGAGGATGAGTGTGTGGGGGCTTGAAGCAGCTTTTTGCTCATGCCAAGTCAGAGACCTCTGCCTACTATTTCAGTCGGAAGGGCCCAAGCAAAGCCAGTACACCGTCTCCTGCCTTCTTTCAGACAACTGCAGTTAGAGGCTCTCACTCCTGCAAAGCTGTACTAGCTGCATGAATGCGGATTCATATGCTTTATCAGCCTTCACGCCACTTTCAGCTGAAAGAGAGGAGCTGGGCTCGCTCCCGAGTCGGGCCGGAGTGGCACTAGGACGAGGCTCCCACGGACACGGCGGGGACGGGGACGCGCAGGGGTGGCCGGCGGGAGGAGCCCTAGTCTGTGGCGAAGGCAGCGTGATGCTCGGTGAAGTCTCCAGCCTCTGGAGAGTATGAGAAATATGCACAGAGAAAAATCGTGGAAGAAAACCGCACACTCCTCTTTCCGTATTTTTCTCCCCCTTTTTATTTTTGCAGTAGGAAAAGGGCGGCGTGAGTGTTAGGATTTCTTCACATGGTACTTTCTCCAGTGAAAACTCTCACCCTTCCGCTTGGAGAAGGCCTTCAAATACAGACAGGACTCAGGACGTGTCACCACTGGAGAGATGCTCAAAAGGCTTTTTGTTTCTTATCCGTGCCACATCGTTTTTCTCTCCCTATCTGAACATGTCTTCAGTTTAGTCAAGGAGGATAAAATAACATACCCTCACCCCAGGCTGGAGTAAACACTGTGTGTGACACTGAGGTCTGAAGACGCGGTGCGTCTCCTTGGGGGATTCCAGAATGCTGGACAGGAGGAGACCCCAGGGAGGGTGCAGGGCAGCCCCGGTCACCTCCATGGCAGTAGCTGAGGGATGGGACCAGGGGCTTTCCCTGAATTTGTGGGTGAGATGGGGAGATCCACATGGAGAATTTAAAAGCTTAAAAGAAAGCAGAGATCAGAAGCAGTTTAATTCAAGAATACAATATTAAGAATTTCTTCTTTTTTTTACTATAAAAATTACCACCTCAGAAGAAAACTGAAAAACTATGAAGGGGAGGGAAGACTCAGGAATTAAAAGTATTTACCTTTTCTAGTCCAACAATGACTTTTAAAAGAGTGTTCAAACATTTAAACTGGCACCTAATACTTTTTGCTTTGTTACTGGCTCTGGTTTCACTTGATTAAAAAAAACTCCATTAAAAAATGAATTTAAAGATACTTCTCCAAAGAAGAAACACAAATGGCCGACACACGTGTACAGATGCCCAACACCACCAGTGACTGGGGAACTGCAAGTCACAACCCACAGGGAGTGGCCACTCCACACTCACTAGCACAGCCGTCGCCAGACACATGGAAAACAGCAAGCGCCGGCGAGGGAGGGGGCTGGAAGCCCCGTGCACCACGGCTGCGGGTGCGAGGCGCCGCGGCTGCTGCGGAAACCCATCCGCACTTCCTCAAAAAGCTAGCACAGAGCTACCACACACACGACTCGGCAGTCCCACTCCTGGGTACACACCCAAAGGAACGGAGAGCAGGGACATAAAGGAACATCTGCACACGCGTGCTCATACGGTACCACTCACGACAGCCCAAATGGGGCCCCGCACGATGGGATACTGTTCAGTCATAGCAAGAAACGACGTTCCGGCGCACGGGGCGAAACGCGTGGACCCTGAGGACGTTGTGCTGAGTGAAATGAGCCAGTCACAAAAAGGACAGATCGTGTCGATCCCACTCACGTAGGTCCCCGGTAAGATCTGGAGACAGAAAGGACCTGAGAGGCCACCGGTGGGCGGGCAGGGGGGCGGGGGGGCTAGAACTTAACAGAGACAGAGTTGCTGTTTGGGGCAATGACCAAGTCTTAGGAACAGTGGGGACAGCTGCACATTATGAATGTAATTAATGCTGATGAATCGTACACTTATAACAGTAAAGCTTACGTTACACAGGATATTTCACCACATTTAAGCAGCAACACGATACACCCAAAGCCACGCAGCGGTATGTGTTAAGTAGGTGTGTTACGTGGCACATGAGTGACATCTCACGAAAGCTGTTAACAGAGAGCGCATTCAACGCTTCACCCGGCACCTGACACAGCCGACTTCATAAATCTGGGCTACAGCAGCCTTTCTGTTCTTAGTAAAGATAAAATGACAAGAAACTTAGAAATCTAAGCACTGATTGGTAGCACTCTAATGTTCATTTATGATGCAATGACCAGACAATAGTTACACTCTAGCTTGGAAGGAATTTTCAAGACAGTAGAACCTCTTTAGTATAAGCGCTTGAATCCTCACTACAGTCCCTCTGACTGAAGCCAGTAAAATACGCTGCGAAACCAAGCGCCAGGGACACATTAACCCGCTTGTGCCTCAGCAGCCTCTCTGCTCAAGGAGTAAAACGCGGGAGGGGGCGAGATGGCATCTTGTTACCTAAAATACTCACTGTGATGATGAACTTGTCACTAAAATGACTGTAGCTTGAGCTGTTGTGACACAGGAATGAGCTGGGCCTGGATTTTTAGTGTTACAACAGCTACTTGTCCAAGCAGTCAGACCGTGACCCCGACACCCAGGGAGGCACACTCCCCACCCGAGGGCCTGGGCAGAGAGGGCGCACTTACTGGTTCAGTGAGGGTGCTGTCCTTTTCTAGAAACTGCACGACACAGTATGCCAGCTATGGGAAGAGGAGACAGAGCATTAATGTTCCATTTTAACAAGGAAATGCTGGGTCGCCCACAGACGCGGTCCTTCGAGGAGACAGGGCCGGATGTGTGTGCCCCCACGAGGTGGGCGTGAGTTCCCCCACAGGCCCTGCAGAGGCCCTGCGCGTGACTCAGGGGGACCCCAGGACCAGCGTGCACAGACCATCTGCAGAGGGAACACGGGAAAGCTGGAAAACCAGGGGACAGTCCTTCAGACCAACACAACAGGTCAGCCAGGCGGGTGGGGACTTCTCTGGCCTTTGTGGAGATGGTAATAGACAAGTAATCTAACTGCTGGGAAAAAACAAATTAAAATCGGTTTCTATCTTATATCCCTAAACTCTTAATTTCTAAGATAGAACAACTAACAGATAACAAACTGGCTGAATGTAAAGATGTCACCAGCTCACAGCAATCAGAGCAAAATCTCTAAGCAAAACAGCTCCCAGGAAGCCAGTGTCCTCAGAATCACGTAAAGAACACGTGTTCTGTTGCTGACCCCACAGGCAGACTCCCCGAGGGCGCTTCCTGGTTCGTGGATCCGGACACGGGCAGGTGCCCGGCCCACGAGCACTGACGAGAAAAGCGACACCCGCCCGCAGTGAAGGGGGCCGTCTCCCTACACCTTCTCTGTGTTGTCGTCAGTGCAGCTTCAGTTCTGTCTACGCAGAAGGCAGAAGAGTAAGAGGAAGGAAGGACCAGATCTCCTTGGTAAACGTGGCTGACCAACCGGCTAGAAACCACTTACGGACAATTTTCCAGTATAACTGTAAACAGATTTTCACAGAGTTAAAAACGCCCACAGCTTAAAAAACAAAACAAAACTTTTTCTTAAGCCATGTTATTGGCCACAGACATACAGACTTTTTCTCTAATGCCCTAGATTTCAAATTACACTACAGGGGACTTTCCTGAGAAGTCTTCCTTGACTCCTTCGAGCTGGCCATTCCCTTCCTGATGCTTAAAAGTAGCTCCGAAATTTTCCGTTCCTGAGATTTTTCTGGTTTTCCTTAAAAGGCATCCCCCTTTAACTCTTCTTCCTTTCATCATCACCAGAACCCTGACCCCTCAGTCCACACGTGACTTAAGAAGGCACACACCCCAGCTAAGGGGCTGGTGTTCAGCGTCTCAGCTCGCTGACGTCCAAGCAGAGACGACCGAGCTCCCCCTGCCCGACATCACGAGAGGAGCCCCTACTTACCTGGGGATGGTAGACGCTCAGAGACTTCACTTTGTGCAAAGGTAATAACACCTTCAGTAAGAAAATCTTGTGCTCTTCTTTTAGTGGTAAGGCAAATCCATTAATTATACTGTGAAAACAGAATTGATTCAAAGTTTATTCAAACTATTTACAAATTCCAGATGAAAAAATCTATCTTGCTGTTTTTCGTTCAGTTTTTGTTTTTAGCATGAAAACCAGCAAGCAAACGATGTGTGTCAGAAAAAAGGAGGGGGGACATCAGGAGAAAGTAAGAGGTCGTTAAATACTTTCGAGGAAGCAGCATCATTTTTATCTTTGCAACTACAGGGTAATTTTTAAAGTTCTGAGTTTACAGGGCGCTGTCCGGAACTGCAGGAGTCTCTGGGGGCAAACCTCCTTCCTTGGACGGAGCCACGGAGACCGGAAGGCTTGGCTGGGACGCCAGCATCTTCTCCATCTCTGGGGACTCCCACTTCCCCAAACAAAACATCACATCTTGGGTTGGTACTGTTTCCCTGTCAAAGATTTCAGTCTTTCCAGGTTTCCATGTAGACTGAAGCACCTCAGATGCTGGGATGTGTACTTTCTCTGCACCCTCATGGATTATGTCCAAGCCCGTTTAAGTGCTGTCATGGAATAGAGGAATGCTGCCCCCGGTACTCTCCTGCCGGCAGAATGGTCTGAGTGGGCAGAATGGACACTGTTTCAAAATCAACAAGAAACTGGGTCCCCTACTCTGAACCTCCAAACTGAAGTTCTGTCTGTAACATCAGGTAGTTGATCTATTTGGATTTATACTCAGGCAAGTTCCCGAGAGCCACAGAGGCAATCAGAGTGATTTCTAAACTGGTCCCGCACTGCTCAATCGCGGGCGTGTGGCGCTGCAGGCAGGGTTAGTCTACGTGGCCATCGGGGACCACGTGGGGGTAAAACAGTCTGTCCTGGGAGTGGAGGACCACGGAGCCCCTGTGCCCAGAGCGGCAGGCTGTCCGGACCATTTACTCAGCTCGCCCTGGCCTGGCAACTACCTCGGACGCAAGTGTGATTATTGTCCCACTTTACAGCGAGGGAAACAGAAGGTGAGGGTGGTTAAGGTCTTACAGGGAAGCAGGGAAGGCCCCTACTCCAGCACTCACTATGTCCTGCTGGGAGACAGAAACCCAGAGTGTGCGGAGACCGGTCCGGTTCTCCACGTGGACTGACGGTCGTTGGACATGACAGCTGACTCAGCGAGGGGAGTCCGAACTCCTGGACCACACGTCCACCAGATGACAACAGGTTCCTTTGAAAAGCTGACTGTGCTCAAACCGTCCTGGGAGTTGCCAGGTCAGATGAGAGTACAGTCTCCTTCCCACAGGGCCCCTCAGAACCTTTAGCTACTAAGGTGCACTGAACCCCAAGCAAGGTGTTGGGGAAAAAGCACTTCCAAGCTCATTCAGCCGTGGAGCCCCAGGGAACTCTGGGAACCAGGAGTCAGGAGGTCTGATATAAAACCTACAGGTCATCGATTGAAAAAAATGATAGCAGGTCCTGGGTTCAACCCCTAGTCCCTCCACTAAAAAATAAATAAGTTAATAAAAACCTAATTACCCCCCAAATTTTTTTAAAAATTAAAAAAATGATAGCAAGAACTCTATTTCGATTAAGATGAGATTTTTGAAATTATTATTATTATTATTTTATAAATATACATAAGAAAAATGTATAAAATCAAAGCGATTTGAAATATTAGCACTTACTCAATACCCCAAAGGTACAATAAACGATCTATTCTTCTTTTAAGTGTCAAACATAAACCTTCTTAATGTAACTATTTTTAACACTGCTTTTGAGGAAATAATTGAAATTGTTTCCATAGTAATGCTACTGAGGTAACAGAAAGAGAATCTACACATGGAATCACGAACCGGAGAGACTTGTCAGTTAGCATGTTCTGATTCAAGAGCTGGCACTAAGTGAGCTCCTCTTTAAGGTCTTTTCGAGAACGGTTTAAACTGCCTTCCTTTGGGGGGGGGTGGGTTGAACACAACAAGCTGGATCATTTCAGCATAAATTCCATCTAAGGCCGCTCACTACCAGCAAAGGGAGATGACTCACCTTCCCAGTATTTCCAGTAACTCTGCTATGCCGTTGTGATGCTCTGTTTCATAAATAAATCTAGAAAAAGCAATTTGTCACTTAGAATTAGACAATGAAATAATGACTCGAAAAGACTAGAAAACACGCAGCTGGGCAACACCAAGCTCTTCCATCTGTGAAAACTGGTCCTGGGGACCCCGCCCGTCATCACCGAAGAGAGTCCGCACAGCCTGGACGTGCAGACACTCGGAGGGACGGGAGGGTGGGCGTGCTCGAGTCTCTCCCGAATGTTTTATGTTCAAAGTTTCAAATGCAGAAAAGTGGAAAGATTTTTACAGCTGAGCACTGCATTCAACCACCCAGATCTGCGGGCGGACAGCGTGCCGTGTGCTTTATGACACACACACCCTCCATCCACCCCGACCGATCTGCTGCTTTGCCCAGTCCCACCTGCGCTGACTTCATACTCACTTCTGAAGCCTCCAATATTGGCGCGGTCTGCAGAGGGACAAGCTCCCTCCCTCTCCCTGGCCCCAGGCTCTCCCTGCACTGTCTCCAGGGCGGTCCTCTTAGCACTACCGCCCCCTCCTTGGGGCTCGAGGCCTTGGGGCTCGACACGCATCCCCCAGAAGCTGCCCCCCTACCCCTCGCGTGCCCCCCGGGGCTCCCAGCACCCGCAGCCGTGTTATCTGAGGATGGTGACGAGGACTCATCATCACCGTATCCTGGGAGCTAGGACTGCCCCTGGCGTCTGTCCAATACCTGAAACACATCTGCTGACTAAACTAGGGCCGCGAGAGGGAACAGGAACAGGGGACAGGGAAGGTCTGCTCTGCAAGGGCCCCTGGGGACCAGCGGCTCCCACCCCGCCTTGTGCGCTCTGCCTGACCCAGAGGCTTCCGACAAGGGTCCTGCCTATCAGATGAACTACTGGTTTAGAGACAGTTCTGAGCCAAAAATCAGAGTTCGTGATGATTAAAAACTTCACTGCCCTTGTCTGACACGAATAGATTAGTGCCCTTAAGGTCAAATGCCCAGGTGTGAGAAATTGACAACGCTGTAAAACTGAAAAAAAAAAGCCCAGTGTGAAGCACTTCCGGGACAGGGCCCTGTTTCCACCTTCTCCAACGACCCAGCCCTAAAGGAGGTTTTGACAAATTGTTAAACGCGAGGGCAGGGGGCTGGAGGAGGAGAGAACAAAGGCCTGTGACCTGGCGCAGGTGGCTCGCAGGCTGGCGGGCAAGGTGGATGCAAGGCTTGGACACCAGCTTAGGCCAATTCGATTCGAGCTGACAGGCATCAGGGGTCAGAAGCCCCAGAAGCAAAACATGGTGACCACGCACAGAGCCGAGGCAGGGAGGTGCCATGACGATCACGGCTGCTGGGGTGGCAGGAACAAGGGCACAGGCCCCGCTGCGGGTGGGGCAGCCCCATGCCAGCCCGGGACCCGGGCGCCTGCCGCTGCCCTTGCCCTGAGATGGAGAGCTGGCCTGGTGAGGGGGGGGGTCCGGCCCCTATGGGGTCAACACATTAGTTTACAAAATTCAGCCTGAGGTTCCCTCTGCTCCCCTCGTTTTATCTACAATATGGCACCTGGAGGGCTGTGCGGCAGCAGGTGGGGGCTCCTGCAGGTATGGGCTGTACCCCCCACCCCGCATCACCTGTGATCTCTTTCACCAGCTCTGATGCTTAAAAGAAGGATGACCTTCAGCTAGAATCAACTTTGTTTTCCTAAACCAACATCACTAAATTCTTATCGATAAATTCTTAGTTTCTGATTATTCTAACACCATTTGAAGTAGGCAGAGAAAAGAGAAAGCAATTGTAATTCTTCTTCTTCCTTCTCCGGGGGCAACAAGAAAGCTGGTGCAGGACGAGAGGGCGCCACAAAGATCCAGGCAGAGGAGGACACCGGTCTCCCTCTCGAGGACTCTCCACAACCTGAGCAGGAACCTGCCGCCCGTCATGGATGGTCTCCTGAACGACACCACCAACTCCTCCCCCTCCCAGGCTGTGTCCTGCGCCCCCACACGAAGAGGCAGAAGCCACCCCGCCTGGAGCTGGGCGGCCCGCAGCGCCAGGACTCGTTCTGACCGATACAGAGGG